CATCAGTGTATTGTCTCCATATGATTCATTTCATGTTTGAAAATTGTGTTTGTTGTTTTAATTAAGAAATGACTAATATTTTTTGAAAAAAAAAAACATTAAATATAATGTGATGTTTGAATGTGTACTTTAAGGTGTATTTTTATATATTTGTCTACATTTTGAATGTATAAAGTACATTTGATAGAAAAAGGAAATGTGTACGTGTATAAGAATCATAATATTGTTTAACATTGTCATTGTTTTAAGCAATTCCTGACTAATCTAATGTTATCTGAAAGTACTTAGAGAATGTAATACACTTTTTAATGCAGTTGTGTATTTCTTTTATTTATTTTTTGTTAATAGTGTGCCAACCCAACTGACCTCTCTGCCAGAAAACACATCTGTATTCCGTGGTTTCTCCCATTCAAGGTAAGAGTTTTCTTCAAACACTTTCTAGTTATGTGGTTGAATTGGAGTGTGTGTTTGACAGTGCAACTGAAGTAAAACCGTCTTAATGTCTTTGCTTGTATTGTAAAACCAGCAATGAGCTAATCAATTATTTTTATTAAGGCATACTAATGCTGAAACCTCTGAAAATGCCACATTTACTCCATACTGACTTCATACTGACAGCGATTACATATACAGTTCTACTTTTAATTCAACAACTACCATGGAGATTTTCTTAGTTATTTCTTTGTAAGTATTTGTTGTTGACACTTGAGAATGCTCTCTGGTGTTGGGTGGTGATCACAAAGCCATGCTTCCCTCATAAAATATGGATGAAATCATAACTTTTGAAATTATGATTTTGGTTTCATTTCGAATGATTGATTTGCCCTACTCTCTGTAGTAAATCTTGGTGGAAACTGGTCTCGGAAATAAGCTCAAAGAGAACAACTACTGTATATATGCATAACCTGTTACACACTTCTTCTATACCTGTCAACTGTTATTAAATAACCACCCCCATTTAGTTCTGACTTTGCTACCACCGCCCTTTAATATCTAAATCCACAGCCTGTGCAGAAATCAACAGCACAACTGGGTTGTAATGCTTGTTGCCAGATTGAGATAAAAATGCTTCGAGATTTGAACATTTTGTCATTTGTGTGAGTTGATAAGCTTCATACAATATCTGGCAACTTGACAAACATGGACAAAAAGGGAATTTTCATAACTAGATTTGGCTATGCAAGTTTCCTGAAAAAACAAAAAAACAGGAGGGTGGAGGGATATAGGTGTAAAATATGGGAGACTCCCAGGAAAAACAATAGTGTTGCCAGATGCAATAATAATACACTTTTACAAAAACACTGCAGTTGCTTGGTGTAAAAACTCATGGTTGATTGCGTTAAAGAGATATCCTACATCCATTCTACTAAAAACTCCCGATCTCTTAAGATCAAATACTTAATTTTGTTTTCTTTTACTCCTTGGAGTAGTTCAGCTTCACTTTTCCTGTACATTCAGCATCAGTCTCATATTTGCAGTTTAAACATTCTTGAAAATATCATTTCTGAATATTTTAACTCCATCAGATGACATTTGATTAGGTATAGTGATTTTTTTGCCATTTAACTGTACTTTTTTCCCCATAAGTATTATGTGGGGTGGCATGGTGGCTCAGTAGTTAGCACCGCACAGCAAGAAGGTCCTTGGTTCAAGTCTTGGCTGGGTCAGTTAGTATCTCTGTGTGGAGTTTGCATGTTCTGCCTGTGTTAGCGTGTGTTTTCCTCCAGGTGCTCCGGTTTCCCCCAGAGTCCATGCTCTATAATTGAATAAGCTAAATTTGCCATAGTGTATGAGCGTGTATGGGTGTGTCCCAGTAGTGTGTTGCAGCTGGAAGGGTATCCGCTGCGTAAAACATATGCTGGATAAGTTGGTGGTTCATCCCACTTTGTTGACCCCTGATAAAACACTTTAGTTAAATTCAGATGTGGTTGAATTGGAGTGTGTGTTTGTGACATTACTGATTCAACATTTAAAGAGTGTGATCTGCAGTTAAGTAAACTGACGTAAAACTGAATATTACCTTGTACTCTTACCTTACCTCATAAATTAGTTTAATTATGACAATTGGCTCTGTGTTTTATTTTTTTATTTTATTAGCGAGTGGTTAGCACTGTCTTCTCAGAGCAAGAAGGTTGCTGGTTCGAGTCCTGGCTGAGTCAGTTGGTATTTCTGTGTGGAGTTTGTATGTTCTCACCGTGTTGGTGGGGGTTTCCTCCGGGTGCTCCGGTTTCCCCCACAGTCCAAACATCCCTGATAAATAAAGGGACTAAGACAAAGGAAAATTAATGAATAAGTATGTACTGCCATTTTTAGCTATGAAGTTTTACTGTGTGTCTTCAGACAAGATATTTCATTAATTATAGTTTTGCATGAGAAATATTCTTTCACTATTACATATATCTTTAGTCTCTGGTGTCCATTTACACTTTTTTCATACAGGAGGAGCAAAAAAAGAGCAATACTAATTTAATAGGTGTCTATCTTGTGTAAATGGATGAGAGTAAGGTTAGTAAATGGCATCCCAGCGCACTAAACACTCATCAGCCTCTGCAGTGAGTGTCCTAAATTCAGTAAAAATGTAGTAGTGTGTTAAAACAGCTTAATAAGAGTGCGTTGATGCACAATATCCCTAATTAATTTTACACTCTGAAGAAGTTCAGCTCGGGTTTGCAGTGGCGATGGTCACCCAGAGGTTGGCATGGGAACAGATCTCCTCATGGGCTGATAATGAAGTGCACACTAGTTCCGGTGGCCTCTATTACTCATGTTCGGTGCTGCCTATGGGTCAGTAAGGTCACCTACTGAGTGTGGACCTGGACCCTGAGGAATGGCCACTCCTGCGACCCTGAGCTTTTACAATGTAATTTCTCTGAGACCTGTCTGAAATGTCATTACTCATGCAGAATTTGTGAAATTAGCAATTAAGCAGTGGGGGTGAAAATAGGAAGGCTGGAGCGGCATTTATTCAAAGCCTAATTAGAGCCTTTCTTCTGTTGTTTTGCAGGAAAATGAGGTGCCGTGATTTTAAATACTGTCATTGATTTGTGTTCAAAACGATATTTCATGTAAATTGAGAATTCATTGTATAAAGAGCTGCAGTTTTATTCACCTGGTTTAGGTTTTGTTTAGTTTTGGCACAACAGTAGTTTCACGTGTATACATTTTTTTGTTCTTATAAATGTGCATTAACCACTAATAATATAGTTTCCACAAGCACCGATATGTTTATGAAATTGTCTGTCTACTTGCACAAATGCAAACTAAAAATATATAAACAATATTTGATAAAATGATACAGCATTTAATAATAATTATATATATATATATATATATATATATATATATATATATATATATATATATATATATGCTGGACAATTATTTTGGCATTAAAATTAGAATAATTATGTAAAAATTTTCTGTATATTAAATTATTGATATTGTTTGGGCTAAAACTCTTATAATAATTATCTTCTGCAAAAAGTATTATTATAAAAAAAATCGTATGATCACTTATCATAGAGACAAATGACCATATGAATTATAGTGAATGTATAACTTACTAAATCATTGACCTAAACAACATTAAAAAAGTAAGAATGGCTAAATCTCTCCATAATACCAGACCCCAAGAATTGCTATGAAGTGGCAAAACCAAGAGAATTGTCATGCAATAAAATAATTAACTTTCTTACCTGATAAGAAGATCAGCTAGGCCTAGTTGCTCAACTGTCTCGATCATGCATCCTGAGCCCCCTCTCTGTCATCAAATTTATCTTCTCGACCAGAGCTGCTCACTCACAATCCACACAGAATGTCCAAGTTTTCATGATTTATATTTTAAATATATAATTAATAAAGGTCTTAATTTCACAATAATATTTCACAGTGTCACTTGTATATGTTGCTTTCGGTTTTGGCTTTGATATGATCTTTGCCAGATGCTTCACTCTAGGGAAAATTGTCTTCACAAAGGCTCTTGTCAGGTCATGAGTTGATATGAAAACTTTATTGTCTTGAATTTATGGTTGTTTGTTGTGATGTGAGTATTTAAGGGTAAGGTGCAAAAATGTGGGATCATATAGCCAGGATATCCCGTTGCAGTGTTAATGTCTGAGCTCTGCATCAAGATTTATATGCTGCAACATACTGCTACATGGTCAGGTAGTAATCTCTTACTCTTAAATGTATCTTTGGGTTATTGATATTGTACAATCTGAATTGGCTTATATTGTTTAATTATGTGAGCTGGCAAGAAAAATATTTTCCTGACAAAATATAAATATATATATAAATATAATTTGCTATATTTTATAGTCTACTGAAATCATTTTGAATCTATTAGATTGTTTAGGCTGATGTTTCTGCAGCCTACGACCAGGATTGCAGTTACATTCAGACTCAATGGATGGAGCATAGGCACAGAATTAGAGACATGTTGATTCTTGACAATCACTGACTTAGTATGATATAATCTAGGGGCTAAATTAAACTTTATTTATGTATGAGCAAGCATGGGACGGCCTAATATTACTTAAAGGATATCCGTTTACAGTTATATCTTCTATCTAAGAACCAAAACTGGCAAGGCTGTGTCCGTGAGCAGATGTACTGTAACTAGCCAGCATACTGACTCGATGAACCATTAGATGAAAGACGAGATGTTTTTAATGGTCAAGTATCTACACTCATTCGACATTTTTGAATGTAATAACATCCTTATCAGCAACATATTGGAAATGTAATGATCACTTGAAATTGGAGTCAGATTAAATTTGGAGCTGGAAATAAATTAACAAAAATGCTAACAAACAAAAATAATTGTTTTCTGATGTACTAGAAAAGGCCTAAATGCATTTACATTTACATTTAGTCATTTAGCAGACGCTTTTATCCAAAGCTACTTACAAATGACCATTTAACCTTCACCAATGCTGTTAGTTCCGTCATTGGACTAATAGATGGACTCTTACAAAAACAAATTCCAGTGGATTCCAGAACAATGTTTATTGAATTATGTTTGGCAACTTAAAAAACAACAGTGATATGGACTGAAAGCATTAAACTACACACACAACATAAAGAAATCACAACCAATAATGAAAGAGATCAAAGAAGAACAAAACTACAGCAAAGATAACTAGTTATACATGATATATTAGTTCCCCTGACCGTGATCCTGCCAAAGAAATGCTTTCAGATCAATATATTTCCATCTGCATATATGTCTAAATACCTCTAAACCTACATCTAATCATAAATATCTGAATTAGGATTAAACAGTAGCTGAACATTAAAAAGAAACTTAATCATCATTTAAATTTAACCTGAGTCATGATTGCTAACCGAACTGGTTGTTTGCATAGTTGATCCAGGAACATGATCTTCCTCACACACAACTCTGAATGTAGACCTGCAGTCTTTATCAGTCAGTGTGTATCGTCCGTTCACCTTCTCCATGGCAGCGCAGTGTTGGGAGAGTGGAAGTTCAGGAGCCTTTCCTCCTCTCCAGTTTGTCCAGTTTCCCACTTGAAGACCATTGATCCAAATCCAGAATCCAAAAAGTCGGCTCTGTCTGAGACCCACCCAAACTGGAGCAGAGATATTATTTCTGTTTAACTCTCGCTGCGTTTCTGTCTGATCGTTCTCAGACTCCAGACACAGAGCTCCAGAAAACTGAGAGCTGCAGTAATTCATAGCATCTTCCCAGGACATTTCAGCAGGACTCACATGAATGAAGCTCTCTGACAACAACAGACATACAAAACTAGTCAAATACAGCAGATTAGAATGACATGTGAAGAGAAAATGGGAATTAATTGAATTTAAAGCTGTTGTGTGTGTCGTCTTACTGTAGCACAGAGGATAGAAGTTCCCAGCATTATTTGTCATCCATCGCCCATCAGTGTGACTCATGTAAGTAATAGGTTTGCTCTGATCAGTGATTGGACTCCAGTTTCTGTAAGCAGATCGTCCTCCATCTCTCCAGTCCACATTGTCATTCAGCAGGCCGATCCAGAAAGGAGAAATACTCTGTGTTCCATTGTTCATCACCAGGGTATTTTCCTCCTCATTTCTGATTGAGACTAAATCAGTGTGATTCTCTCTGCAGTAAAGCTGAGCATCAAACCAGCTCTTTGGTTGAGTGATTAATGAGTAGATGTATGATGATCTTCCAGCTTCTGTGTGGATGAAGGAAGAGTTTAATTTTGTTTAATCACATTGAAATATTAATAGGCTGATATTTATTACCTTGTTCATAGCACATGAAGTGTTTTGTCTCATTGCACAGGATAGATTCCCAGTCTCCATTAGCATTCATAGCAGCACAGCGAGTTTGATCAGAATAGCTTGGAGAATATCTGCTGTATGAAACATCATCACCATTTGACCATTTCAGACTGTAGTTTCCTCTATAAGCACCAATCCAGCCACTTACAGGAGGGCTGCTGTTCTTCATCAGTTGCAGTAGTTTATTATTGTCTTGTTGGTCATAAACTGTGACGAGGTCAGTGTAGTTTACTCTGCAGAAACTCTCAGCAGCAGATACATTGTTACTCCTCTGCTTCAGCATGTAGAACTGTCTCAGTCGACCTTCAGCAGCTGAAAGAGGAAAAGCTGAAGAGAAAAATCCACATTATAGAAACACAACAACATCTGAACTAAAATTATATGTAGATGAGTTTAGGAACTTATTGCACCTAATTATAGTGCAAACATAAAATAATTTTTATATTTAAAGTTAAATTTTTGAATTTATAGACATTTTTATGTATACAAATATATTTTGTGTGTTTATAAATGTAATTCTTATGTATAAGAAGCTACACATTTTTTTTTTCTATAGAATCTACTATTTTGCAGAAATATTACGTAATAAAGGCACAAAAATGCTCCATACTTTTGTATAAATAAGAGTTAACATTTATTTATTTTTTATTTATTGTTTGTTAGTTTTTTTTTGTTTATTTGTTTGTATGTGTGTTTGTTTGTTTTTTGTTTGTTTAACAGAAAATTCTGTATTTTTCCATTGCAATTAGCAGATTTTTAAACAATTTAAAATATACTTCGGTTTAATCATTTAAGCAGTGCAATTTTTAGTTAAATAAAAAAACAAATAATTAAGAAATAATAAAAATAGTAATATTAATAAGTAATAATAATAATAATAATAATAATATAAAACAATGTTTTGTTTAAAGACACTACAACTAAAGCTAAATAATTTTTTAAAAATAGTTTGTGTTAGTTTTTTATTTGAAGTAGATTCTGCATTACAGTTAAGATAACTGAGAAGAATATTGTCATAATACTAAAATGTTGAATTATTTGAAAATACATATTTATATTTAAAAAATGTTAATTTTGTACTTATATTTAAAAAACTTATTAAACGAATAAAATTGTTTTTATCATTCCTTAAACAATAACACATTTAGTTACTTTTATAAAAAGTTTTTTTTTTATAAAAATGATAAAAGTGTCAAACTCACCACAGATGAGGAGAAATGCATGCAGAAACATCATCAAGATAAGTCTGAGCAACCACTGAAAAAGTCAAATAACACACATTCTTCTGTTTTCAGTAATAAATTTTATATTACTGAAGTTGAAAATGTATTATCTTATATTACTTTATTTATTTTACATATATTACATTTTGAAAATGTTAAAAACTGGTTGCTTTGACTTTTATAATATTTGTTTTCTTACTATGCAAGTCAATGGCTGCAGGTTCGAAAATCCTTCTAAATTGATTTGCATCTATCAGAAACCCAAACAGGTTTTACAATTGTGAGTGACATATATATATATATATATATATATATTATTTATTTATTTTTTTTACAGTGAACTATCCCTTTTAGCTATACAGTTTAATAATCAAATCCAAAATATTGTACTACTTTTGCATTTTCAACCAAAATCGTTTCAATAAATATTCAAGTGCTCTAGTTATTTTCTATTTTCTGTCAGTTTGATTGTAATTAAAGGTATGAAAGTTGCTGTCAGTCTTACCTGGTGAGCAGCTGATCTCTTCTGAGAATGTGCTGAAGCTGTAATGCTCCTTCTGGATGACTGAAGTTAAACAGTAGCTTCAGTTCAGTCTTATAGTCTATAAATCACATTTGTATATCTTGTATGTTGAGTCACGGCACTGCTCATTAAAGAGATAGTTCACTCAAAAATGCAAATTATTCCCTCGTGTGGTTTTTCTAACCTTTTTGACATCCTTTCCTCTGATGAACACAAAACAACTTCCCTGTATGCTCAATATCAGAGAGGATTCATATACATTAAGACAAACTGCAGATCTGGCTAGTTTTGGTTATTCAATAAAAGCTCAACTACTTTTAAAAAGTAAAATCAGTATTCAGTATTGTTTTAGTTTTATTTCTATATAGTAATAATAATAAATGCCTGATGTCATCAGATTCTGTTTTGAATGCTGAATAGTTTATGAAGCAGTTCTTCCGCAATCCAATAAATTCAAATGTTCAAAATAAAAAAAAACCCGTCCTCCTGATCCTCAATGCTGTTTCTGTTCATTCGGTGTTTACATAAACAAAACTCAACTGTATCCAATATCTGTACTATTTCCCCATATTCATTATGGCAGTGATGTGATGTGCTTTCTAATCTCCTATTGTAACTTCCTGTTTGAGATGTGCATTCATTTATTATGCTGAACAATATGTTTATTTTTCTAAACTTGATTTAAGTGCAGATCTATTTTCCTCCCTAAATATTAAAACTGAAGAGTTTGTGCTTAGAACTACAAATCTACCAAATGGGTGTGAAAAATACCATTTAATTTCAGGGTAAACCATCATTATTATTTAATGTTGTTTGTTTTACAGTTTATTTCTTTAACGTGTTGAAAGATATTATTATTTTAAAGGAAAAAAATGTTGCTGTTAATTTACTCTCCTTCAGGCTGTCTAAGATGACTTTTTCTTTTCAGTCGAACATTAAACATTATTTTTATCTGACACTTTAGTCCTTGATAATTCATTAAATGCAGTAACTAATTTGCTAATTGCTTTTGGGTGACTGTCCCTTTAAGTCACATCATTTTTATGACTATCTTTGTAAAAAATCCTGTAAAATAACTTTATATTGTCTGACATTTTGTTTCAAATAAACGTGTGTTGATCTCTGAATCAGCTCTCTTATGAGTTATTTAATTATCTTGTTTTGTTTTCCCCAGTAAACAAGACTTTAGGTTTTATACCATAAAAAATTATATATAAATAAACACTTATTTATTATTATTGATCACCTTCACTCAAAAGATGGCATTTGCTGTTTGTTCAAATTACAGATTTTAAATGGTCTGAAACAACACAATTCATGAGTTTTAATTGCGACAGCTTAATTGTTTTATGTGATTGATCCAATTCAATTTGTGAAAACTGACATGTTAACTTAATTCTTTCATGTTGTCCCAATGCAAATCAATTGTGTGAAACCCATCAGTTTTACAGTGTTTTTTTCTAAATGATTAACAGTAAATTCTGATGAAAATGTGAAATGATTTTTACTCCGTTATGTAATATTTAAAATATAAATTATTTTATTGTTTATTTATTTATTTTAACATGATACATGTCTTTATATTTTATTGCAGTTTGTATCAATCTAAGAATTTATTAATCCTTTTTGTCAGACATCACTTTAACTTTAAGTTAGGTCTCCATCAATATCAAAAACAAGTCTATACCCTTGATGGGACACCCATGCTCCAAGCCTAATATTAAATTCCCTGACTTTCACTGACAAAAAAGCTTAATATCCATCATATATAATGAACGTAAACAAGCTGTTGTTGTGCTTTAGTACTAATATTGATTAAATTACCCATTCCTTTTCCTATTGATTAGAATAACTAGAATGCTGCTAATGTAATGATTTGTTCATTCATTAATTCATTTATTTAGCTGATAAAAATATCTGTAAAAACCATTTCTTTATTGAATATTAAATAAAAATGTTTTTTTTTTCTTTATTAAAACGCTTTATTTAATATGAGATGATACAAAGACAACTCAAGACAACATATGAGGAAATTGGATGTGATGTGCGGTATATTAATTAACAACTTATAATATAAATTTTTTCTATAAAGTTTCACAAGTGAATTGATAAAATAAATGAAAATTAACCAAAGAGATAAACATAATCAGTCAAAGAAAGCCAACAGCACACAAGGTTTCACATCAGCTGCTAGGATAATGCTAATTACAAGTTTATTTTAAAGACGCAAATGATTGAGCTGTTCACTATTAACAGCAGGAGCTCCTGAAAACTGTTCAATAAAAAAATAAGGCAGTAAAGAGTGGTAAATTACTGCGTCTCACACACAACTCTGAATGTAGACCTGCAGTCTTTATCAGTCAGTGTGTATCGTCCGTTCACCTTCTCCATGGCAGCGCAGTGTTGAGAAAGCGCAGCTTCAGGAGCCTTTCCTCCTCTCCAGTTTGTCCAGTTTCCCACTTCAAGACCATTGATCCACATCCAGAATCCGAAAGGACAGCTCTGTCTGAGACCCACCCAAACTGGAGCAGAGATATTATTTCTGTTTAACTCTCGCTGCGTTTCTGTCTGATCGTTCTCAGACTCCAGACACAGAGCTCCAGAAAACTGAGAGCTGCAGTAATTCATAGCATCTTCCCAGGACATTTCAGCAGGACTCACATGAATGAAGCTCTCTGACAACAACAAACATACAAAACTAGTCAAATACAGCAGATTAGAATGACATGAGAAGAGAAAATGGGAATTAATTGAATTTAAAGCTGTTGTGTGTGTCGTCTTACTGTAGCACAGAGGATAGTTATTTGTAGAAATTGTTTTTAGCCACCGCCCATCAGCAAAACTCATGAAAGCATTAGGTTTGCTCTGATCAGAGATTGGATTCCAGTTTCTGTAAGCAGATCTTCCTCCATCCCTCCAGTCCACATTGTCATTCAGCAGGCCGATCCAGAAAGCAGTATTACTCTGTGTTCCTTTGTTCTTTACCAGGGTATTTTCCTCCTCATTTCTGATAGAGACTAAATCAGTGTGATTCTCTCTGCAGTAAAGCTGAGCATCAGACCAGCTCTTTGGCTGAAGGATTAATGTGTAGATGTATGATGATCCTCCAGCTTCTGTGTGGATGAAGAAGAGTTTTATTTTATGTAATTACACTGAAATATTGATAAGCTGATATTTATTACCCTGTTCATAGCACATGAAGTGTTTTGTCTCATTGCATAGGACAGATTCCCAATCTCCATTAGCATTCATAGCAGCACAGCGAGTTTGATCAGAATAGTTTGGAGAATATCTGCTGTATGAAACATCATCACCATTTGACCATTTCAGACTGTAGTTTCCTCTATAAGCACCAATCCAGCAACTTGTAGAGCTGCTGTTCTTCATCATTTGCAGTAGTTTAATATTCTCTTGTTGGTCATAAACTGTGACGAGGTCAGTGTAGTTTACTCTGCAGAAACTCTCAGCATCAGATACATTAACCCTCTGCTTCAGCATGTAGAACTGTCTCAGTCGACCTTCAGCAGCTGAAAGAGGAAAATCCAAATAGAAAAATACACATTTAGAAACATAACAACATCTGAACTGAAATTATATTTAGATGAGTTTAGGAACTTATTACACCTAATTTTAGTGCAAACATAAAATTATTTTTATATTTAAAATTAAATATTTGAGTTTATAGTCATTTATATGTATACAAATATATTTTTGTGTGTTTATAAATGTAATTCCTATGTACAAGATACTGCACTATTTTTTGACGTTTTTTTTTTCTATAGATTCTACTATTTGCACAAATAAAATTTAGTAAATAAAGGCACAAAAATGCTCCATACTTTTGTATAAATAAGAGTTTACATTTATTTATTTTTATTTATTTATTTATTGTTTTTTTTGTTTGCTTATTTGTTTGTATGTTTGTTTAATAGCAGATTTTATAACAATTTAAAATATACTTTGGCTGAGGTTTAATCATTTAAGCTGTGCAATTTTTAGTTAAATAAAAAACAAATAAATAAATAAGTAATAATAATAATAATTATAATAATAATAATAATAATATAAAACAACGGTTTATTTAAAGACACCCCAACTAAAGCTATTTTATTTTGTATCAACACTTTGTTAGTTTTTAATTTGAAGTAAATTCTGCATTACAGTTAAGATAACTGAGAACATTATTGTCGTAATACTAAATATTAAATTATTTGAAAATACATATTTATATTTAAAAAAATGTATTTTGTACTCATATTTAAAAAAACATATTAAACGAATAAAATTATATTTATCATTCCTTAAACAATAAGTAACACATTTACTACTTTCATAAAAAGTGGCACAAGATTGTAATACATTACTTTTAAAAGAAAATTTCCCCAACTCTGATTATTTTGTGTATCCAAACAACAGCATGATTTCCATTTATATACTGAATTAGAAAAAAAA